ACCCACCCACCCCACCCACCCTGGTCCATCCTGTTCTTTCACTGCAACCACCCGCGCCCCTGATCACTGAGCTTTCAAAGATGATCCTCACCGTCCACTCAGACCTGGCGGCCACCTGGGGACCCACCTGGGGGTCTGTCCGCTGCCCGCACGTGGCCAGGCAAACCGAGCATCGCTCCTGGCTCGGCATCAACGTGTCTCAGATCTGCATGTTCTAAACCAGCTGAGCACACACCGAGCGCCCAGCTCTGCCACCGTGAACGATGCCCGTTAGCACCCGGGGGTCACCCTACCCAGACCCGAGGGTGCGGGTGCTGTGTCGGCTCCTCCAGCTCCAATCCAACACCACAGGGTCCCTTCCTTCTCCCCAGCCCCACACTCACACCTGCTTCTCTCACAGTACGCACCTCCCTTTCCGTCAGCATCAGTCCATTTACTTGTTGGCTCCATCCCACCCGAAAAGGAGATGCAGAACCGCTGTGCCACTGTGCGCACAGGCTTTCTGAGCGGGGCTCCGGCTCTTCACGGTTATCCTTTTGACTTTAGATGAGCAGTGAGTTTGAAACAGGTGTTTCACATGTTGCTGGGATTAGTTACTTCGTGTTTCCTTTCGGTGTAGTTGTGCCATTCATTTGAAATGCAGGTAGGGTCCTTTGTTCTGCATATATTCACTTTTAGGTGGGTTTTCCTCATCTTCACTGACTTATTTTTCCAATACACAGATCATTAACGTATTCCCAATTACATAGTTTCCGAAAATCTAATCTATACAAAAACAGGAGCTCAGAAGAGTCACCCCCTGGCCCTGCACCCCGACCACCTGCTGCGGGAAGCCAGTTTCTGGCTTAGCCTTCGTGTACTCCCTTTGGCAAATTAAAAAGCAACAGTTAAGCCGTAACCGGTTTGGCTCAGTGGATAGAGCGTCAGCCTGCGGACTGAAGGGTCCCAGGTTCGATTCCGGTCAAGGGCATGTACCTTGATTGAGGGCACATCCCCAGTAGGGAGTGTGCAGGAGGCAGCTGATTGATGTTTCACTCTCATTGATGTTTCTAACTCTCTATCCCTCTTCCTTCCTCTCTGTAAAATATCAATAAAATATTTTTTTTAAAAAAGCAATAAACTACAGTTTCAAGTTTAGTTGAATGACTTTGGAGGAGCTCCCACGCTCCAGCCCCCCATGGTCACCATCTCTCCCAGCGTATTCAGGTGTCAGGGCGCTCCCTCACCCTGTGGGGACACCCCTAAAAAAGCATGCATCTGTCTCTTACCATTGGTCCCACATGGGTTGGGTGTAGATGGTTCAAATCCCCTCAGGTCTGTTACTCCAGCCACGGCATGGGGAAAGAGTGTGTGTGGGGGGGGGGAGCTATGATGTCATAAGGGCAGCTATGACTCAGGAACCAGGATGGCTCCCAATCGCTGAGCCCCCTCCAGGAAAAGACAAAGGTCTCTCCATTCTTTTCTGCTGGAAGTGGCCAAAGCCCAGACACCAGAAGTACTGGCCCATTGACGTAAAGGTGTGAAAGATGACCCTCCCCTGGAAAAACTGGGGATTGATCTAATAGATTACCGTCCATCCACACTCTAGAATACTATGCAGCTGTTAGAAAACAATAAATTTGATCTATATGTCCTAATGAGGAAGTATATCCAAGATGCTGAGGGTGGGGGCTGGTTTCCAGGAGCTCACCCCACTCCGCTAGCCACTAGGACCGCCTGCTCGCCCTGCCCGTCACCGCCCCCGTCCCCTGCCAGCGCATGGGCAGTGCTTACACCAACAGAAAACAAGAGGGGACTTAGCAAGGGCCCACCCAGCGCCTGACAGCGCGAAAACAGACCCCAGCCCAGAGGCCATGGTGGCTCCCTCATCCCTGCAGGGAACAGGAAGGTTCTACAGGCCCCTGAGAAAAGCAGGTCACGAATGAAGGGTCAGGAGCCAAAATGGCTTCAGACGTCTCGACAGCAACCCTGACAGCAGGCAGACACGTTCCACACACAAAATCCTGCAGAAAAATGCTAAGCCCTGGAATTCCACGCGTTACACCATCGATGACAAGTGACGACAGTGGCCCATGTCCAAAGTGCCACAGAATTGGTCCTTTCTCCTTCTTTTAAGGATGGGGACCCAACCCGGCGAGCAGGCAGCTCAGAGCAACCGCCGACCACCCCAGGCGAGGGGAGCAGCCAGCCCGACCCGCGGCCAGGCCCTGAGGCAGACAGGTGGGGCCTGTCACCACCTCGCTGCCACGGCGTCCACCTGAGGACCGGATGGCACTGAAGCTTCGTGGTCTTGGCTCGCCCTCGTGCTGCTGCAGCTCCGCTCCCCCTCATGCCCGCCCCTGACGTCACGCTAGACAAGCCCTCCTCTGACTCGCTCCTGGGAGCTGGACGAAGGTCATGGGACTCAAGCAGAAAACCCGGGACAGCCGCTCCCCCTGATCACACGCTGGCACATACCCAGTCCCTGGCGGGTCCCCCAGCGGGTTCCCGGGACTCATTCATGATCTTGCCCATGACTTTCCCAGGAAGGAACTTGGAAACCCTCAAGGCCAGACCATGCTCCTTAGAACACAGCCAAGGTCAGAACTTCCACCCAGTTTACCCAAACTCATCAGACAGGACACAAACAAAAATGAAGGGCAGCACACACTGTATGATCCCACCCATGGGACATTCTGGAAAAGGCAAGACTCCAGGGGCAGTGGCTGGGGCGGGAGGAGAACTGACTGGGGAGCTGGGGGATTCTGGCGGGAGAGGAAACCCTGCTGTATCTTCACAACTCACAGAACTATACACGAAGCAAGGTGAACGGCACTGTCCGCAAATTATACCCGGGCGAGAAGACAAAAAAGAAGAAAGAGGAGCCCAGCCAGCGTGGCTCTGGGGCTGAGCATCCACCTATGAACCAGGAGGTCACGGTTCAATTCCCGGTCAGGGCACATGCCCGGGGTTGCGGGCTCCATCCCCAGGGTGGGGTGTGCAGGAGGCAGCCGATCCATGATTCTCTCTCATCATTGGTGTTTCTATCTCTCCCTCCCTCTCCCTTCCTCTCTGAAGTCAATAAAATTTTTTCTTAAAAGGAGGAGGAGGAAAGTAGGAAGAAACCAAATAAATTACTAGCTCAAGTCAGGAATGGCAGCTGGGACTTCTAAGTTTCTGCAAATAGTCTCGTTGTTAACCTGAGTGGTGGGTGCACAGGGGTGCATCGTGTCCTCGTCACTGTAGCACTGCATTGCACTGCATTGCACTGCATTAACGATTCTGTATCTAACACATTTCACATTTTTATTGTGGTTCTTAGTCCTCACCCGAGGATACTTTTTCCTTTGATTTTTAGACAGAGTGGGAGGGAGCGAGAGAGAGTGAGACAAGCATCATCCATTGGTTGCCACCCACTCGCACCAGGACCAGGGCCGGGAATCCAACCTGCAACCCAGGTACTTGCCCCTGACCAGGAATCGAACCTGCGACCCTCCCGTCCACAGGCCAACCCTCTAATCACTGAGCAAAACCAGCCAAGGCCCACAACACATTTTAAAGGCATTTCAAAGTGTTTAGCAAAGGGCTTGGTGCACACATAGCCATGTAACCTTAGGACTATGAAACGTATATTAAGTCTTTCTGTGAGCAGGTGAAGGCCAACAAAATGCAATTTTGGAAGCAGAATTTCCAAAGCCAGCTTTCTTTTTCAATCCTCACCCCAGGATATTTTTTCATTGGTTTCTAGACAGAATGGGAGGAAGGGAGGGATGGAGGGAGGGAGGGAGGGAAGAGACATCGACATGAGAGACACAGGTCAATTGCCTGCCTCTGCATGCGCCCCTACAGGGGCTGGGAACCTGCAACCAAGGTATGTTGGGAATCAAACCCTCGACCCCACGGTGCACAGGCCAACACTCCGGGCAGCACAAAAGCCAACTCTTCATGGACCCACCCCCGGGCCTTCCACCCTCTTCCAGTCCGGCACTTACACCCCGGACTTGGCTGATCCCCGAATGCCTTCCCTGCCTCTCCACGAGGGACTTCTCCCCAGGCCCAATTTCAGTGTCCCCTCCTCTGTTCCCTGAACACACAATGTAATTCTAGTCCCCTTCCCACACCTTCAGTCTCCACTGCCTGCTCCTCTCTGCACTCTCAAAAGTGAAGCGGGTGCAGGGCCTCTGCTGAGCGCCAGGAGGGAGACCACTGACTGGGAAACCGTGGGGAAGGGAATGAAGAACGAGCCGGCATTGCTTGGATCCCTCTCCCCGTCCAGGTCGGTGCACCTGTGCTCCGCTCCCTGCACTGAGCCACGGAGGTCTCGGGGTCTCCCATTGGGACTGGGGTGAGGGGGCCCCTCCCCACACAGAGACCTTGCAGGGAAGGAGATGAGACTTCTCGGGATCAGAAACCGGATTTAGAGCCAAAATCTGAGCCAAGGACCCGAGATCTGGGTTCTAGGCCCGCATCCGCCCACTCACGGAGACTGCCACAAAGCGCGGGCCTCAGGGGTCGCTTCCACCACGTGGAAAGAAGGGCTCACCTCTCGCTCTCGGAGTCGCTGGAGATCTCCTCGTTCATCCTGCCGCCACCCTTGGACTTGCCCCGGTCCCGGGCGGAGTCGGCCTGGGAATTATACGATCCTTCCTGTGGTCAGGGGTCCCGGCCACTCCGGCCCTGACCCAGGGCCCCTTCCGGTCTCCCGAGGGCTCTGGGGCTGGGCAAGGCCTTGGGCCCCGCTCAAGTGCAAGGCCTCCCAGGATTCGGCCGGCGGACAGGGACGCAGCTGACTCCAGCTTTAGTCCCGGGAGAAGGGCGGGCAGGGCACGGAGGGGTTGGGAGAGGATGGAGGCGGGATGACGGGGGTCCCAACTGCGGGTCGGATTCCGGCCGCAGGAACGCCATGCTCACCTTTCGCCGCCGCTTGCCGGCCCCCGCACCGGCTCGGGCCCCCGAGGCCGGCTTCCCCCGCTTTCGAGCCACCGCAGTCGCCGACATGCTGCCCGCCGGTGTGTGGCAGCGGCCGCCGGAGCACTCACGTGGCGGCTGAACCCGGCGGTCTGGCCACACTCCGCGCCCTGATAGGCCCCCACTGCCCGGCGGGCCCCGCCTCCCGCGACTCCATTGGGCCCTTTGATAGGCTCTGCCACGCCCCCTAGCGCCCATAGGGTCCCCGCCTGTGGCCACGCCCCCTAGAGCTCCCATAGGCTCCCGCGCCGGGCTCTTCCTGCCCGAAGCTGGGGCGCATGCGCACCGCTGCTCAGCTGCCATCTAAGGAGGGGCGAACAGGGCGGAAAAGGGAGGGAAGGAGGGGCCTTCTCTGTGTTTTCGCCCCTTGGACGCTTGGGGGCGCCAGAGATGCGGGGTTCGAGTCCCAGAACGTGACTCCACCCCGTCAGGGGCGGGGACCAGGGTGTACCAGTCTGGCACTAGAGAGCTGGTAGGGTGGGGGGGTCGGGGTTGGGGGGGAATCCAGGCAGCCCCGGAGGAAGGAAAACAGTGTCCACACCTGAGACCAAGGTCCCTGGGCACCGGTGGACACGCATGGCATGCCCCGGCCCAGGGAGCAGCCCTAAGGGCGCGTCAGCCCTCTGGGCCCTGGCAGTGTGGGATCGTGTCCACCCTTTCGTGGGACAGGCTGCAGGCACCGGTCTGACCCATCCTGTGACTCACCTGCCCGGTGACTAAAGAGTTGGAATCCTAAGCACAGCCCAGCTTTCCCCCGCCTCTGTTGATGGTCAGGAAGTCCCTCCCTAAGTCACACTTCAGGCTGACAGAGGGTTGCTAGCCGGGCCCCTAGAACTGGGACTGCCCTGCCAGGTCCTGATACTGGGCCCGGAGGCCGCCATCTCTCCCAGGTCCCTGCTTCTCTTAGGTGAGTGCCCTATGGCCCTGGTCCGCAGGGCGGGGCAGGGTGGGACTGCCCTTGCCCGCTGGCAATTCAAGGCCATTGGGACATCGACTGGCACCCCAAAACTATTGAGCTCACTGGGGAGGGTTTCTGTGTCACTGAGTCCCAAGAGAAACAGATCTGGCCCCAGGGGTGCTGCCCCCTGGCCCCACTGCCCATTCTCCTCCATAGCTGGGGTGACTCAGCCCAGCACCCATGCCAGCCGGAGGCAGCTGAGAAGGGGGAGGAGCAGGCAGAGCCCTGGAGTGCTCTGGAGGAAGGAGGAGCCCATAAGTGGGAGGGAAGACTTGCGTTTCACTTTCTCTACCCCCTGGACAAACAGGAGAGCCAGAGAGGGGAGGGGCCACTCTTCCTTGACCGAAGTGGGCACACTGGACAGGGCCCTGGCCTGACCCCGGGACCAGGGACAAGGCATGTCTGGGGTGCAGAGAACGGGTTCTGGGCTGGGGCTGGGAATGTAGAATGGAGTGGGGGGCGGCGCCGGGAGGGGGAAGGGAGGCAGGGGCAGCTCA